CTTCGTTGCAGAACTCAAGGCCATTGTCGGTTCTCAACCTCTTAACCTTTCTGCCAGTTTGAGTTTCGATCAGAACCTTCCAACTTTTAAAATTCTCAAAAGTTTCATCCTTCGTCTTCTGGATGAATACCCATAGCTTTTTGGAATAGTCATCAACGATAGATAAAAAATACTTTGCATCTAAGTGTGAAGGATTCCTTGCAGGCCCCAAAGATCAGCATGAATGTAATCCAGAGATCCATGTGTTCTTTGCTTGCCTTTGTTAAACTTTGCCCTACAAGATTTACCAAATACACAAGATTCACAAAACTCCAACTTTTCGACTTTGTCACCTCCTAGAAGGTTTTGCTTCCCCAATTCGACCAGGCCTCTTTCGTTGACATGCCCCAATCTCATGTGCCATGATTCTGTCTTCGACACAGATTTCGTGGATGCAACATTTGTCAAACCACTTACAACCTCAGCCTCAAGGCTATACAAGTCGTGTTTCTTCACGCCTCTCAAGACTTCCTTCGACCCCTTCATGACTCTTAGGATACTTTTCTCTCTTGAAAAACATATCCCTTCCTGTTGAATTCACCAAGAGAAATCAAATTTATCTTTAAATTGGGTACATACCTGACTTCAGTCAATAACCTTATTAACTCATCATGGAGCTTGAATCTCACAGATCCAATACCTGTAATTTTGTAAGATTTGTTGTTTCCCAGCACCACCGATCCACCATCTTGATCACGTAGCTCCTCGAACAATTCTCTGTTTGGAGTCATGTGTCAAGTGCAACCTGTATCCATAATCCACTCTTTTCTTGAGTCACCACTTGAAACAAAAAGAACATTAGATGAGTCGAAGTCATCTTGAACAATGGTTGCGTTACCATTATCCTTACCTCTCTGATCATTCAGGCGTTCAGGACACACCTTTCTTGTGTGACCCTCCTTCTTATAGTGATAACATCGAATACCATATGTTTCGCCACTATAAGACTTTTGCTGACTTTTATCTTTCTACTTGTCGAACTTAACATCCTTTCGGAAAATGTTTCCCTTAACGGACAAACCTTCGCCCACCGTCGAAGGTTTATGCTCTTTTGGTTTGTTCAAGTCCTTAGAATACAATGTTGATTGAACTTCTTCAAAGCTCAGGGACTCCCTTCGATACAAGAGAGTTTCTTTGAAGTGAGCATGTGTTCTGGGCAAAGCACACAACAACAACAACAACAACAACAGTGCTTGATCTTCATCATCGACCTTCACATCAATATTTTCAAGATCAAGAATCAGCTTGTTGAACATATCCAACTACTCATCCAACACTTTGTCTTCACTCATCTTGAATGAATATAAAGCTTGCTTCAAGTAGAGTCGAATCACCAGAGATTTGGTCATGTACAAACTTTCAAGTTTAACCCATAATCCCGATGTTATAGTCTTCTTTGATACCTGTCGAAAAACCTTATCACCAAGGCTTAACAATATTGCGGTGTAGGCTTTCTCAATCATGGACGTCTTTTCTTTTGCTGTTAACGCAGCGTCCACGGATGCCTCTCCCTTTAACGCTTCCAAACAACCTTGCTGAACCAGTAGGGCTTTCATCTTCAAGCGCCACAGACCGAAATCGTTCGCTCCAGTGAACTTTTCAATCTCATACTTTATTGAAGGCATCTTTTCCACGCTCACCGCACCAATTTGTTGTGAATAGAATGTCTTGAAACAAAATATAAATAATTTCTTTATATTCAAGAAACACACAAGGGTTAAGGTTAACAAAGAAAACAAGCAAGAAGAACAAGAAGAAACAACAAGGATTGATTATAAACTGCTATTATTTCCTTTATCTATCATATAAGATTACAAGTATACAAGAATAACAAATAACCTCTCTCTCTTGAATTAGGATTTTATCTTCCTATTTTTCCTTATACAAGATGAGAGACTAGCATGCTGTTTATAAGAAAATTGGCACACTAACCTAATGAGCTTTTTAACAATTACTCATTACAAGATAACTTAGGGATGCTTCCATGGAAAAGAAGTCTTCGTTCTTCTTTTCTCTGCGTCAGTTCTTTTGATGCGCCATAAATGCATTTGGGAAGTGGTTGAGGTTCATTTAATTCTTCTAAAAAAACTTTAAACATAATGTAAAATTATGTCACACTTAGATCGTTTTACTTTTACAATAAGCATATAGTATGCCACAACTGATGAATTGTGGGTGTCTTAGTTTGAGCAAAGTGTTCTTCGAGATCGAGTCGGATCTCCCTTGCAGTAGATGTGTGAGAAATATTGTTATGCAATTTTACATCGATGGCATTGATGATCCATGTTATTACCATTGAATCCACTCTTTCACAATTGGTGTAATTTTTTATTTTCTTTCCTGGTTTCTTGATTGTTCCATCAATAAAATTAAGCTTCATTTTTTCTCAAAGAGTCATTTTCATTGAAAATGATTGTTCTATAATTTTCTCCGTTGAGAATATCTGCCACCAATGGAGTTCATGGATCATCAGAGGAACCGATGTAGTTTGGTGAACTTTGATGGACGACAAGTTTCCTTTATCGGGCGTATGATTTTCTTTCTCCGAATTTTCTTCGTCAAAAGTAGAGGTGGCAAACGGGCATGCCCGCCCCTCAAAATTCTGCAAAAAAATAGAGTGGGGCGGGGTGAGATTGTGTTGGTCACAAACTTAAAACCATGGTCCGCCCCGCAAATAAATGAGGGCGGGACAAGGCCCCGCAGACACTACATCATTTTAGCCTAAAAATTGCAAAATATTATGGTAATTTCCATCCCTAAAAAGCCCAAAAAAAATAGAACAGACATATTATAGGGTACAGACCTAAAACATTAGTCTGCTTTTAAAAAAATGCAGACAAAACAGACGGACCCATTTTGTCACTCCTAATCAAAATAATCGCGCTTTAATGTTATTATATATACAAATATGTAAGAGAATACAAAAAAAATCTCATTTTAATAATGAAATTGTGATTCTATAATAATGAGATTGTGATTCTATAATAATAATAATTGTTGTGAATAGAATGTCTTAAAACAAAATATAAACGGTTTCTTTATAAAAAAAGAAACACACAAGGGTTAGGATTAACAAAGAAAACAAGCAAGAAGAAACAACAATGATTGGTTATAAACTGCTATTTTTTCCTTTATTTATCAGACAAGATTACAACTATACAAGAATAACAAATAACCTCTCTCTCTTGAATTAAAATTTTATCTTCCTATTTTTACTTATGCAAGATGATAGACTAGCATGCTATTTATAAGAAAATTGACATACTAACTTAATAGGATTTTTAACAATTACTCGTTACAAGTTAACTTAGAGTACAAGGTAACTTAAACAATTGGACTTACAAACAATGCCCAATTCAACATACTAACAACTTAGCAATATTGAATAAATGATGTTAGAATAAACTTCGACTACAACATGCATTACTTGCGAATAGACTTCGACCATACTAGAGTTCGATCTTATATCTCACAATAATAATAATCATAATATAATTATACAATAACAATGTAATAATCCTATAATCTTCTTATTAATACTATAAGCTGCATATTAATTTTCCAATAATTACTTAGGTAATCTAACCAAATGTTTACAAAATTCGGTTGAGATTTAATTGAGTTTGACTAAGTCTAATAATTACATTGTTTAACTTAGTCTCTTTTATATTGATATTTGAATGGAATTTAGTTGTTTATTTGTGTGGGGAAAAAACTTAGTTGATAGAGTTGGACTTGAGAGGAAAAAAGAAGAGATAATTATATAACTAGTGGTAGCATTAGATATAGTATTTTATATAGTTGATGATCAATGGTGAACAAAAGTAGGAATAATTTCCAAGCATGACAGAAGAAAGGCCGAAAGGGCTTCATTTTGTACTGAAAATATATGGCACATGCAGATACAGTTGCACAGATGCATGTGCTTAGTCATGATATTCGAGCTAACCGAATAAAATAATGCATATATGTTCTTTCAATTATATTATAATGTATGACCATAGCACAATTGCATCGCATCACGTTTTGTTGTAGCCGTAGTTATCACAGTCATCATCATTAACAATATCATTAGTACATTACACTAATAATTAAGTCTTAGACTTACCCTTACCAATTGAATGAATGAGTTACTCATCGATATAAATAAGTTTTATATATGTGTAGGTATTGTTTATGACAAACAGTTCTGCCAAAAAAGAAGAATATACATACAATACACGTGCTGAGCATAATGAGTTTAGAGAGATTTTCAAGAGCACGCTTTGGGTTGAATCAAGGAGACAGGACCACTGACACCATTCTTAAGAGAATGTCTCTTGCATTGTTTAGCTAACCAGTGTCACAGATCATTCATTAAAATATTACACCTAAGTACATAGATTTGATTAAACTATTTTAAAACAAACTTAAAGTAACAGTCCCTTTCTAGCCCTTGATCTTAATCATGGCTGTTATAATTACTACACCTTTCTGTAAGTAAAAGGTTGTGTATCTCACTTCCTTTATTTGACTACTTTCACTCTAATCATCATCTTTATACTTCATTGCATCAAAAGCATTTATTAGCACCTTAAGATATATGATCTCATGCATGCATAATATGTACTTTAGTAGCAACTAAAAAAACACACTCATTCATGAGAATTTCAAACATATATCACTAAACAAGAAAGTTACATGATCATAGACAATGAACAAAATTGAAACTTTAACTAGAACATGATGATGCATTAATCATTGTCATTGGATGAAATGATTAGAGGTTATTGAGTTCTTTGACCTTTATACATCTTTCCTTCAATGATATCTACTGATAAAAGTTGAAATAACGACGAAGTTTAGAGATAGAAAAAATGAAAAAAATAGTAATAATTTTAACGTCTTGCATTTTTCCATCTCTAAATTTCCGTCGCTATTTCAACTTTTACTTGGTAGCTTTGATGATAATGATTTCAACCTTAGGAATATTGGATGTGGTCTTTAGGGTTTTGCATGGGAATGGAAGGGTTGAAGGAGAAAGCTATACTTGAAGGAGGACTATTATTCATTGTATCAATCTTGTTTCCTAGATTCTCTAATGCTTTGACTTGTGATCTAAGAAACTTGAGGTAATTTGCAGCTTCATCAAGCATTGATGCAGTGTCCATCTTGGTTCCACCAGGAACAATCTTCTGCAAAACCCTAATCCTCTCGCTTATTCTTTCCCTTCTTTGTCTTGCAGCCACAGTTTGTGGATCATTTGATATCTTCACATTCTTTCTCTTCGGCTTTTCCATAACTTCCAAACCCAAATTCATCACTGGCCTAAATGCTGCGGCTCTATATATCATTTCCTTCATTTGTGCTATAGCTTCTGGATCAGCCTCTTCATGAATGAATGAATTCGACAACGAAAGTGATGAATTTGGTTGCTGGAAATTGATGTTTGATGAACCAGGACACTTCTTATTATCATCATCCCATCTCGGTTTCTTGGATTTTGGTGGTTTCTCTGAGATAAGCTTGAAACCAAATTCAGAAGAAGCAGAAGAAGAATTCTGAGTAGTAGTAATACTGAAGTAAGGATCATATTGATCAATATTAATCCTTTTTGTCGAATAAACCTTGGAGTTATCATTGATTTTACCTTGATCTGAGGAAGTTTGAGACACTATTTCATGATCTAGTTCCTTGAATGGATACTGCATGTCTTTGTTTCTTCTAGCACTAATGGATGCATTAGTACTCTCAGATTCAGCAGAAGAAACCGCACCAAAGTTCCATAAGTTTCTGTTTTTGCAGTCAGAAAAAATCATGGAAATTCCATCATCTTGAACAGAATTCGTGTCGGTGTTACTATTAGTAGTGGCTGAAAACAAACAATCAAGTGATGATTCAAGAGAGCAGGTTGTAGTACTCTTGCTGTTTTGTTGGTGGACCATGTTGAAATCTGGCACATAATTGTTTGGTGTGTTGATATTGACTGAAAGTGAAGGGTATGATTGGAATATTAGAGATTCTTCCCAACCGGATTGAACCTTCTGCGTCTCTTGCATTTGATAACTAAGAAAAGTTGAACTTGGATTTGACATTGAATACTCTCTTTCAAGATCTTGTGAATGAGTGTTCCACAAGATTGGTATTCTGGCAACAAGTTGAGAGTCATCATCATCATCCCAACTAAGATTTTCCATATATAATGACTACTTGACAACAATCTCTAATGAAGTGAAACCAACCCAAGAGAGATCTAATTCAAACTTGAAATCTTCATTTACCTATAACACCGAAGACAAGAATACGTATCAGATCATATGAATGAGTAACACATACACAACACTGACACGTCAAGTCAACATTGATAACAAATATATGTTAGACACCAGACACACCGTATCGGAGTTACATAGAATATACATCAAGTTAATGTATTATGTTTAGATACAAAGTATATGCATTGTTCAAACTCAAGTCTGGTGATACATTGAAAAACCTGAAAAGAGAATAAAGTTTGTACCTTAATCTTAATATGCCATGGAAGAGAAAGTACTGGTGAATGGTGATGTAGTGTGTGTTTGTTGATGAAGAGAAAGTTATATAGATAAAAAGAGCAAAAGGTACAAACTTTTGCAATAAAACAAATGTTGGTACTTGAACAATATGAGGAAATTGTATAATATATATAAGCTTTGAGCATAAGAATTCAGAGAGAAAAATTTTGAATATAAATTCTCAACTGAACTTGATAACTTGATATAGAATATTATATTATATTTTTTCTGCTTTTTTTTAAGTGGAAAGTTCTGACTTCTTTTTGGTTATGTATATTCCATGCGCACTGTAAAGTTGCAGTGAAAACTGCAGTGAAAGTTAGAGCATCTTTTAATCAACAGCATCATTACTGTCTTTACAAAGATTTTTTTGTTAATCATAGTTTTAATCATAGCCTAGTGATGTTTTCACTTTCTAATGAAGTAATTGTTTAAGAATTAGTGGTAAATTCTTTGAGGAATCTAGTGATTAAAAATATATTTGATCAACTATGAAGCATAGTAACTGCTACAGATTCAAAGGTTAATGGAGTGGAATTGATGACTTAAAATTTGTGATTTTTTTTAAGTATTTGATAAGAGTGTCTCTGCATCTTTGCTCTGCTTTTTATAGATGCTTTGTCAGGTGTATTAAGGTTAGGGAACCATAATTTTATCTTCTCTTATCATCAATTTGTAATTAATACTTGCTCTATTTTAAAATGATTGTGGTTTTAATAAATAAATTTTGTTTTAAAATGACTCTAATTTTCACTTTTTAATGTAATAATAATTATAATTTTTTCAATTATGTCATTTAATTATTATTATGTATATTACTTCTAATATTTTAATAAATTTAATTTAGTAAAAGTGTAATGTTGTATAGCAACATCATTATATTTTTTTAATCTGTATGCAAATTTTCAATGAAAGTCATTTTAATACGGAGGGAGTATTATTTTTATATTACATTTTATTATTTTACACATAATAAAGAGAAACTATAAATAAATAAATAAAATTATATTAATTTTAACAAATTATTAATCTTATCAAATATTGTTGTGTTTATTGTGTTTATTGTTGAGTTTGTAATCTTTATTGTTATATCATTTATTTTTTCTGTGAGTTTGGTCTGACTCGTCGGATCTTCAAGAGCTACCAATGAGACTATGTTTATGGCATTGAGGGTGATAGATTGAATGGACGTATTTGAAACACAGGCTGGGGATATGGAAGGTTTTGCGCGTTGTGAGCTTTAGAGTTTCGAGCACAGATGATAAAAGAGTTAATGATATGATGGTGATTGAGTGATCATCATCAGAATGTCTAGATTCATCATCGTTCTTGGAAGTGTTGCTAATAGAGTATAAATTGCCGTAAAAAAATTGGCCATGTCGCTGTTCGAAGGTGATCATGGAAGGTGCGACGATTAACTTGTTCAATTTAATGCATGAAACAGAGGACAATCTTACATAGATGAGACTGAAGCAAGCTTTGACTGAGAAGTATGGAAACAGACAATGCAACAACTCATTTGAAGAATTTGCAACAATTGTGGAGTGTGGATGAGTACATCACTCACTTTGAATATGTATTATCTTAGGTGAGAAGATTGTTAGAGAAAAATTATTTGGGATATTTTAGGGGGCTCAAATCAGAGTTTGATTGAAGGTTCTTACCTTCAATCATCATACTCGTATTCAAGTCATGAAACTTACTTATAATGTCGAAAAGGAGTTGTGAGGATCATTATTGCTGTCGCGGTGAGAATTGGATATCAAGCTATTGATTAACTTGAATCACAAATCTTAATTCACCATCGATCTTTAATGTATCCAAGGAAAGGGGAAAAGAACGAATGACCCACGAGTATGTAATGTAATGCAAAACTAGAGAATCTAATCGGAGGTTAGTTATACTTAGGGAAGGTGTTAGCATCCTAAGTATCTGTAGTACTCTATATGAACCTCTTGTTTTATTGTGTTATTTGTTATTTTGTCTGTTAAGGGTGAAAAGGAGAAAGGACACCTAAGGTGTTATTCCTAAGTATGCACGCCAAGAAGTCGCATCTTGTGCCTACGTATCTTGGCGGTAGTGGAATCAGAGCATTCGTAATTTTCCTAAAGGGACGAAAACAATGTTTATTGATTAGTTTTAAGAGAAGAGACAAGTTATCATCTTAAGGAGAATACTCAACTAAACCACCACAAACACGTGGAAGATGGATATTTGTTTCACAATGAGAGAAGGGCTCCAACTCGGATATAGAATCGACGAGTATGCCACATGCCTCTCTCAAGTGGAAAAGAATTAACATCTTTCTTAACTATGTCATTGGGTAGGAGAATTATATCTCGACTAAGGATGACTCATGTCTAATTCTATCATGGGAGAAAAGGGAACCTAATTGTAGGTTGTCTAGTTAACATCCAAAGGGAACTAACCTAATTCTATGAATCTCAAATAAGATTGAAGGAGAAAGTTATCTTATTGTTGTCATGCAAAGGATTTATCATAAGACCTAATCTGATTCAATTTATCAGAGATGAAGTTGAATTATGGGCCTACCCTTAAATAGGTTAACCATCTTAATTAATTTAAAATTTTAGCCTTATATAATATTTATTATAAAAGTGTTAGTCAACTCTAATTATCATAATTTAAACTAATTTGACTAACTAAAAAAGGTGTTATGAATTAATTTACCTAAATAAAATAATAACAATAATTAAAAAGAATGGGGTGTGAATTAAATAAAATTAAGAAGTAGACTGTAATTAGAAAGTGTTAATAGTAAAAAAACTTAAACTCTAACTCATTATCCTAACATACATCACTAAATTATATCTAATAATAATAATACTAATAATAATAATAATAATAATAATAATAATAATAATAATAATAATTATAATAATCATAATAATAATATATCATTGTGAATGAAAGAAAAAGAATATTAAAAAAAACATGAAGGTCTGCGTGAGATAGCGACACCATTTTTAACAAAAAAAATTATCCTAGTCCCTTGATTTTAGCAAAAAATAAGTTACTATATTATCTTGACCTTTTCAATTTAAAATAAATAAATAATAATAATAATAACCCACGTCATAAATAAATAAATAAAATTAAAACAATTAAACCATAAGATGAGAAGGAACATATCAGATCTAAATTCTTCTCCCTCACTTTGACTTTTCAAATAAACTTCTAACCCTTAGAATGTCAACCCATGGCAATAGAGTTTTTTTTTTCTTTTTTAAAATAAAAATAAAAATAAAATGTAGCCAAGCAAAACAAAAAACAAGCAACGTAGCATTATTACTCTCTCTCTCTCGTCTCCTCACAAAAAAACCAATTTTTTTAAAAACTAAATTCTCACAATCACAACTTGTAAAGTCACACAAGTCCAGATTTAGACATAACACAATAAATAAAAACAAGATGCAATAGGCGATACCTAAATCGAAAGATGTTATGTCACTAAGCGGGGGTGATCGAAACGACAACCAGTGGTGAAAGGTGCGACCGCAACTAGAAAAGAGTGTGGTGCGACGGCTTAGCCGGAAACGATTTGTGTGCGTCGGGAATATCAAACTCCAACTTCTTAGTGTTAGTGTTTTTCCTTATTACTCTGTTTTTTTAATCTTTTGTATGTGTGTGTATTTCTGAACTTTTTTCTTATTATTTTTTCTAATGCATATATATAGGACTAGAAAATAGACAAAAATGATAATAACAATTAACAAAATATTTTTTTTTTTGTTTTTTTATAATAAGACAAGAATAAAAGGAATTAAAAATATGCTTTTGTGTTTTTTATGATAAGACAAGAATAAAAAGAATTTAAAAAATCATGTTTGTGTTTTTTATGATAAGACAAAAATAAAAAGAATTAAAAATTATGTTTGTGTTTTTTTATTACAAGACAAGAATAAAAAGAATTAAAAATCATGTTTTTGTGTTTTTTAAAAAGAAAATATTAATAAATAAATTTAAAATAAATTAATTAATAAAAATAAAATTAATTAATAAAAATAAAATTTTACATTAAATATCTAATTAAATCTAAATATATCAAATGATTATTTAAATAAAAATGATTTAAAAACGAAATAAAAAGTCAGGCAAAAAAATGCTCGAAAAAATAAAATGAACACACCAAAATAATCAGCGCGAAATAAACGACTCGGACAAATATAGTTTTTGGTCAGACTTTGAAATAAATTTTACTCGCTAAAAAGGCTTAAACTGACCTAAAAAAGTCTAAAAGATGGTCGAAAAATTTAAATGAGCACGCAAGGTTAAACTATGCGAAACATAGATTAATATCACTGACGTTTGCATGCTCGATCTTGAAATTTTCCGTCCACTGATTTTACATACAGTTGATTTTTATTTGATCAATTCAGTTGTAATTCTAACAAGTTTATTCCAGCTGATAAATTGGATATTATGCAAGATAAAATGCGTGATATGTTATGCAGACGATGCGAAACTAAAAACAAAATCTCATGGTCAAAAATTAGGGTATGACAAATGCCCCTATTTAAGTTTATTCTATCCGGAGATATGGAGATTAAAATCTTCGTCCCGACGAGATATAAGAGGCTTAAATACAAACATGCATAATTTTTGGCCCTAAGATGCCATAA